CGAAACAGAACGAACGTCAAATAAAAAGAAAAAAAGAAAAAGAAATTGAATAAACCCTCATGATATCTTCCGATTCTCGATTTCGACATTTAGGAATTGACCAAGTCGAAAGCTACAGGTACGGAAGAAATAGATCAATCGAGAAACAAGGCACAACGAACGCGAACAAAAATTTTCGAAGGCGCCAACAGTCAAGAGGGAGCAAAAGGAAATCCTAAGACATATGTAGCTTCGATATCAAACACAATGAAACAACAACAACACAACAGAGTAGAAGCAAGTGAATGAACAATCGAAAGACGTACCTTCATCAGAATTCAAGTTGAAACTTCCATCGAACTTCCAGAAATGGACTGTGTTCATTGGAGCACAGCTCATCCCAAAGAACCGCGACGCGTCAGAAATCTTATGAAGCTTATATCTTCAGATATTGGTCTTTTCGAGAAGTCTCTCCTAGTTCACGATGACCAGCATTCAATTCTGCACCTGAAAAGCTAAAAAAATTAAGGAGAAAATTTTTGGCCCTAAATGGGGAACTGTTCAAAATTGTCTATTTTGTTTTCCTCAAAATAAATTGGGCTGAGTCAAAATTTGCGACTTCAAAAGAAAGTTTCTGGATTTCTCTAATGACAAAGTGAATCCTTACTTCAAAGTAGTAGTTTCTTCAACTTTCTGCTCGTTGATTTCCATTGCATCCGGTACCTGTAGGCGTGCACTGCTCGTTCGCCAAGATTTCTCTGTGTTCTCTACGTCCATACTATCTGAAAGCTTGTAAGTTTCTTATGAAAGCTCACTTATAATTCAGTTGAGATACAATTCCTTGCGTTGGCGCTAACTCAAAAACATGTCGAATGTCATGTCAAGTTTCTTCAAAGTAGATTCTTGTAAGCCTTACTTGGCACTCATCATCGTTTGGAGAAAGGGAACATGCTTCAATGTGAACTCTGAACTGTCCTATAGACACTCTTTTCATATCGAACAAATCTCAAAGACTATTCTCTAAAGTCTCAAAGCCCAACCTTTCCTTCCCGTTGAAATGCTGATCAAATTGAACTTCAACCGGCTCAGAGGTTGGTTCAATTATCTGTTTCATTTTATTCGTTCTCCTGTAAGGTAAGGACTGAACATACACAAAACGCACTTGATAGATATGCTAAAGAGCGGGATTGACGTTTATCATTTATAAGCAGAAAAACAAAGGAACGGTTGTGTGTTGAAAAATCAGTTTTATTCAGTTGTTTTCGAATCGTACTGATATGATAAAAGCTATAAAACATCATAAAAAGGGTTTTAGTGAGGGCAGGAATGTTACAGGTCAACAAGCCGCCCTGACGATTTGTCAAAATAAGCAGCAGTATTGAATGCCAAGCATAGCTGAAAAAATAAATAACATTGGAAGAAAAAACTTATAAACACCTTCAATACTGCTTTACAGTTGTCAACAGTGTTGTGAGCACTGAATGACTCGCCGAAGATCTGAGCATGTAATTGAAACTGTGAACACATACGATGACTTACAGATTGGTAGAGAACTTCTATCTTGTAGCTCTTTTTGACTTTTTTGTATGAGCTCTCACTGAAGCTCCAATCACCGTCATCTTTCCTGAACATCTGTACTTATGATGGACTTTCTTTAAGTTTACCGTATGAAACAAGGTTGAAAACGAGCTTTGATAGCAAACGGCCAGTTGTTGATTTCCAAATCTTGGAAAGGATCTTCGGATTTCAACTGTTTTTTCTGGTTGATGGAATTCGTTGTATCCATATCCTTTATGCGGTGGTAGTAAACATGGTCGGTTATTGTGAAAGCAGATATGCTGTCGGCGAAGAAGCACTGAATTTGAAACATTACTGTCATACAGAGAACAATCAAATACATTTTTTAAGCTTTCTTGCAAATCTATATGAGCTCTTTGCAGCTCTGATAGCAACACGCGAAAGTGGAACTCTGAGCCACCGAGAGCCACTGTAATGAAACAAAAATGGAATAACCTCAGCTAATTATGTACCAAAGCAGATAGGTTTTTTAAGTCCATCCAAGAAAAGTTTGACGTCAGACCATTCTTCTCCAAAACATTTTTCCTCCGAAAACGTATGCACTTCCTGTGCTGGCTGGATTCGAAGTAGATGTTCATCCAATTCATCTCCTGTAAGCCCATGATTTACAGGGCATGTGAAAACGGCGGCGATGGATTCGAAATCCTCCTAAACCTCCTTCATATATGTTTTTATATTAAAAATCACTTTTTTTTCGATCTTCGTGACTGCTTCTTCGAAATCACTTCTTTCCACGGCTACCATACCAATTTCAACGATTCTCGGATCCACAACGTTTGCTTAAATAATTCAAGTAAAGGTAGGTAGTACCTATCTGTGAGAGGATTACGTATGGGACTCTTGTTGGATTGATCATCTTCAGGGTAAAACCCTGTAGTTCCGAAATCGAGAAACACATAAGTTTCAATATTTTGTCCTAATTGGAATCTTTCTCTTACTGCGTGCGTCATCTGAATAAGCAGAAAGTAATTGCTGAATACTTTTTTTTTCACTTTTCGAACACGCAGTTCCAGTCAAACGAATGGAATACAGTAAGACTTGTGGGGGCATTTTTATACCGGAGAGACATACACGGACATTCAGCTTCGATTGGTTCTTTTTCAATCGCATCTTAAAAGTTCACGATACTTTTAAGTAAAAATAATCGAGATAAAAATTGATAAACGTAGACATCAAAACAGCTATTGTTTTTCATTTTCAAGTTCAATAACAGAGATCTTTCCGTTTTGCAACTTTTATGGATTAAAATCTGACGAACATGCTCCATGAAAGTTCAGTTTCTCTCTTCCCCAAACCTAATGTGTTTTTACTTGGGTCTGTTTTCTCAAAGTATGCTCTAAAAGACTTACCGTCATTTGTCGAGTATCAGCGTTCAACATCGTGAGATCGAGGAATCCGCTCCTAGTTGCTTTCTATTGCTTTATAATTCATAATGATATGTTGTAAAACATTGACCAGCGCTTCACGTGAACAACAACTGATGAATTCCTGATGGAAACGATTGGGGTAACTAACAACAGAAAACAGAATATCACTCACATTACAATTGTCGGGAGATTCCAGAAGTTCTCCTCTTATTTCGCCATTGACAACTTCGTTGTGTGCAACCCAGCATAGACATTCTGGGTCACCTTCAGAAATAAAGAGATACTGTCGGAAATCCGATAACATGGTCCCAATTGTATTCTGAACATCAATAAGCTATAAACGACAGGTACCCAAATTTACGTTTCTATCTGCCGTTTTTTGACTGTGCCTTTCATCCCGAAAAAACCTTGTTGGCGGGAAGCAAAAGGTATTAACATCTTTGCTGAGAATGCCTTCATCTGCAAAACAAAAAAATCACAAAGAGAAGAGAACATGTCAAACTTTGGTTGCATCCAGCTTGAAAAACTGCATTCCCCAAATTGAAGTTGGTTAACTCATCATCAGTTCTGCGATAATAATTCTGGCGTATACCTGCGGAGTACAATATATATATACGATTTCCACAAACTAGAGCATTACCTGTGGTTCAGCTTCTCTGTAGTGAGCCAGGCTATCTTGCGGAGAAAGAACCTTATAAGAAACTGCCTAGCTTTTCATGGTAATTCTAAAAATTTACATAAATTAATTTAATAAAGTTAATGTGTAAGGCACGAAAAGTAGGACAACACACGTGACAAATGGAAAGGCGAGACCACGAAAATGGTTGAAGGAGCATTAAAGGTAGAAAACAGAAAAAATGAAACAAATTGGTTGGGATTTGAGTGAGTTAGGAGCAATTGAGTAAAATCAATTCGATCAACATCACTGCCAAACGCCTATTTCACGTGAAACGTGAAACACGACCGCTCAATCTAAAAGCTACGCTCAGGAAATGAACTGATTTGACGCCGGAAATTTATTTTTTTTTTTGGAAAAAATGAAATGACACCCGTTCCATTTGAAGAATCTGAAGCGCATGGAGCGGTGGTGCATCAGATGTTAACGATAGCATGGAAAACGCTGTAACTCTCTTGGAATTGAACGAAATTGAACGAAATTTTTTTTATTCGAAAGCCGTGTCAAAGAAGAATGGAAACAGAAGATTCGCTTGTGAAAAGCTAAGTAAAGCTGCTCAACCTTCTAACATTCAAGGAAGAAACTACGAAAAATCATTAAAACAGAAGAAAACTATGAAAAACAAACAAGGAAAAAGCATATAAATTATGAGTTTTTTGGAATTTTTCCAAATTTTTATTGGTCCCGACACGAGATCAAGAGAGAGGGAAAAATTGAAAATTCAAAAAAATGCGACTCTGAGTGTCATAGTTTCGCCTCCCCCTAGGGATCTGGTCCATGGGGACCGTGATACGTGAAACTTCGCGTGTACTCATAAACTTCCACAACGTACATCGTACGACGTACGTTACGTGGTCATTGTGAAGGAAAGTTTACGAGGGGATATCTCGTTCCTGAATGAACGGAATAAGAAACGAGTACCATATTTGGAAAGAGCTCGAAAAACTGAATCGGATGAGGGTAAATCATAGGTAAGTACAGATGCAGAAACTCTTCAATATAGCCAATTACCATTTGGATATCATCGATAGACTAGTCGACACCTATCAACTTTTAAAGAGCCTGTTCTAGTAGACTATTGCGTAGAATACGTTTCTTTCAATTCTGTACCTGAGATGCTGAAAGGAAAAGCCGAAACTTCCCCAAAATAGGGAAAAGCAGTTTTACTTACACACATGGATTGACACGTATCAGTTTATGTACAAATAGATTTCTGAACAAAGTTTTCAATGACCTGACTGAGAGTTATCTTAACAGTTCCGAGTTTGAATGACAATAGAAGCCGTCTATGATCAACTTTCGAAAATATAAATACAACAGAGAATATATGTCAGGAAGAAGAAAGGAGGCAAGAAGTAAGCCCGAAAGGAATGTGTCAGGAGGGAAAATGAGTACATCTGTTGACGAAGCATATAGCTATCGAACTAGGCGATAGGTTGGTTTGGAAACGAAGGCACAAAGTCATAATGTTTCTAATCGAATATAATAGAGAAGATATGGGAGGATTGAGTTATCAGAGTCATCGATGAAAGAAATTGCTGAATAGATAGAGGCTTGAATTATCGAAAACAAGAAGAACAATCGAGTGTCAGTCGAAGGAAAGTGATGAGAACACACATCTTTGGTCAACAGCTGTGAAAGAGCATGATTTGGAAAACGTGAGTGTAGTTAGTCACTCAAGGTAGAGCAACGTGGTAACTTTGTAAGAATGCCATACAATCTTTAACTTATGATAGAAATAGAAAAAACTCAATAAAACCCGATATATCTTAGCTCTTCTGATGAGGGAATAGAATTCTAGTCATTCGTACAAGTTTCCGTATCGATATCAGCATGACGATACGTCTGATACTTCTTGTATTGCTCGAAATGATACTGCCAATCCGTAATGTATTCGTTCTGCCAACGATCCATTTGTTGCTTCCACAATAGGAATGGATCACCAACGTCCGCTGAAAGCTTTTCATTTACTTGCTTCTTCAATTTACCACTCACCAACTGCTGACATCAAATTTGGTAAATATCCTTTCCAGAATGCACAAGACTTACGACGAGGTCCATGTCCAACTCTTCAATAAGGATCGTCATCTCAGTCTCTTTCCCATATTCCTACCTCTTAGCTCCTTTACTATAACTAGATTCAACGGTCATATTCATATATTCCATTGTTTGGGCGTTATACTTCGGCCAAACATCTGGCGTATAAGTTCCATCTTCATTCTTGTTGGGATCTCTTCAAAGAAGTAAATATTACAGAAACTTCTTTTCAACATACCCTGTTCGAGCAAAATTTGCCCAGTATCTCATGAATCGACTGCTGAGCTCTTGTTCTTCAGCTGTATAGTTGAACTTGCTATTGTAAGGCTCTCCGAAAATTAAATTAATCTCATAGCCATGAACAACACCCATCCATTCAGGCCATACTTGGGCTGATGCTCTGAAAACATGGTTTTAGAACCGGGAGTTCTATTTTCTGATACCTATGAGTGAAATAGTAATAATAAGTATCGGCTCCATGTTTTGCACTCGCCAGAGCCATCTCGTTCACACTACAAGTAAACAGGTAATCGCCCAGCATCTTCTCCATTCCATCTAGCCAATCAAACGGACTTGCTTCAATTAAAACTATCAATGAGATCTGGCTTTCCGCCTTTACCTGGAAATTCTGCTGGTTCATACTCATGCAAGATGGATGGAAGTCCCAGATGACTCTTCACCATATGTCTTGGAAGTAGTTCGTAAACTGCTTTCAACCAAGTCTGTCTGTCAGATAAGAACTCCTTTTTAGAGAAGAACTCATTAACAGGGAAAATGTCCTGAAGGCAATGATATTACTGATCGTTCAAAGATAGTGACACTTACTGGCAACTGATAGGTTATGAAGTAAATGGCTTCATCATGATTACTTCCAATAAGAAGCTGCGTCTTTTTGAAATTTCCTGAAAGAGTTGTTCAGAACCCGGACTAGATCTTCGTAGAATACCTTGACGAAGTGAAGTTGCTGCATTCTCCACAAGAAAGTCTCCGTCTACTATAGGCACCCAAGGGAAATCAGCAAACTCTCTGACAGGAGCCCATTCATTTTCTCTGTTTTATAATGAAGTATGATCACAATCTAACTAATACCTCAACAGTTCAGCGTCTGCCCTCTGTAGACAGTCTAGTATCTTGTCATAGTCTGGTTGATCCAAACTCATATTACCACACTTCATTGCATTGTAAATGATTACAGCTCGGGCCAAAGCCACTTCTCTAGACTCAAGAGCCCAGGGAGATGTAGCTGATCCAGATTGAATAATTGCTCTCTGCAAGGAATATTCATATCAATATAAACAAGTTAGTTTCTTACGTGGAAATACGGAGTACTCTTTTCACTCAGCATATGCATGTTCACGGATGCAGCACCAGCTGACTCCCCGAACAGAGTGATTCGGGTTGGATCTCCACCGAACTTATCAATGTTTTTATGAACCTAAAATTTGATTCAATGTATCTTTTGTGTATTTATAGCATCCTACCCATTTCAGAGCCATTTGCTGATCCCATAACCCCATATTTCCTGGTGCTTCCGGACGTCCTAAGTATAGGAAGCCCAGAACAGATACACGATAGTTCATGGACACCAGAATCACATTTTCTTCACTGAAACTACAGTATAAACTATATCAAACTGCAGTTTCATCCTTACACAGAGAGTATCCGGCCATCATATACATCCAAACTACTTGTGCCTGACCAGAAACCGCCCCCATACACCCAAACCATAACGGCGAGTTTCTTGTTCGGATCGACCTGTTGAAGATCTTGTACATATAAACTATTCCATTTGATTTTACCTTCCCAGGAACAAAGACGTTCAAGTATAGACAGTCTTCCGATAAAGGTGTATTAGCGTTCCACATAGTAGCTCCATAGAAATCGCCGAAGTATGTGTCGAGAACCTGAAAACAATAGAATGAAACAC